TATATATATATATATATATATATATATATATATATACATCTTTATACAAATTTTGAAATAAATTCACTACTTTATACCCGTTTTGGTTCAGTTTATCATATTTTTGATATAGAGGGCGAATTTTAAAACTTGTAAAACCTTCCCCCTTATGATCATATGGAAAATGACTAAAGGAATAGTCGGGTTTCTTGATGTCTCAGGTTGTGCACGTTACTTCTGTTGTAGTAAGCTATACTTATGATAGACTAATAAAGATGACTGTTTAATCTCTTTTTTGCTGTACACCTTTTAAGAAACCATTTTTTGCAAAATAAAAAATGTTTTTTATTTTTTTCAAAGAGTGGTTACATTAATAGAGAAAAATCAGCTAAGCTTTTTTGTGTACTGTAGGTAAATACATTGGTGTTTGCTCAAATGTCTGTTCCTGAGAAGGTCTCATTTGTTCTCGGAAGTCTCACTTAGCAAATGTATTTATTTGAATATATTGTTTGTCTTCTTTAATGCACTGTGTACTTGATTGTTTAAGTCATTTTGAATTTTTAAGACTTTACGACCATCTATTTTGTAGTGAGCGTAGTAAGAGGAACATTAGTTATATTTATAGTTGACCTGTAATTTTGTTTTGTTAATCTGATTCTCTTTTATTTTTTTTTCACTTCTATTATATAGAAGTGCTTGAAGTTCTCATTTTACCAACATTTCCTTTTTGTTAAGTGATGTTTACGTTTTGGTTAGGAATAATGTTTTTGCTTCTCAGGTACAAAGAACTGTCACGGAGATATCCTAAAAAACTTGTGAAAGTTTAGTTTGATTTTGTTCCTCTTTATTGTCGTTGACGTGGCTCACATTTCTGTTAACAGCTGTCTTTTTTTTTTTAGCTGCTAACTAAATTCATTCGTAATTTTAGCTCCAATTTTCTGTCCTGTATATGTTTCAGCTGTGTTCATCGTTGTTCCTTCACTTCTTCTGGTGCTTTATAGTTTATGCTAATTGAAGACAAGGGATGAGGGACATGTACTGCTCCTGTTTTTCAACCATCGGTTGTTGTAAAGCTGACTGCTTTCATTGCTTTGGTGTAAATTTAGCTTTATTTCTCGTGGTTGAAATTTTGAATGATTGGAATTTGAAAGTCATTGTTACTTGAACCTTCAACATCAACAGATAAAGCGCTAATTTTTAGTTCAGTTTACTGTAGCTGATATTAGTGAAACTTTTTATTAAGATGATTTTTTAGGATCTAAAAAGTACTAATTTAAATAGATACAGATGGGCAGCAAATATTTCTGCAAGATGACCTTTTTAATATTTGTTTTTTTAGACGGAGTTATCCCCGCCTCGAAAAGCTGAAGTGTCAGTGATGCCTTCAGCTTTGAAAGCTCTGAAGCCTCGGAGGATGACGTGAGTTTTATTCTTCAATTTATTTTTATGGCACTTGGTAAATTGTTTTTCCTTGCACGTAGTGCTGACTTTCGGTAACTACAAATCGTTTTTTATATGGCATCTTTACGTATGGGTTTAGAACTTTTCCATTGTTATTTTGAATTGCATTTCAAGGAACAATGGATTTAGGGTCTTACCATAGCAAATAAAGATGGAATGGTTACATGCTTTTTATTTTTTCTCAAAGAAGAGGGATTTTTTAAGCGCAGGCTACTTCTTTGAATACATTTTTTAAAGAATTATTTAGATATTTAAACTTCTAAGGTATTTCCAATTCAGTTGTTGGTTCGTTGTTATCGTTCTTCATGAACTGTACTTTTTTTCTATGAAGCTTGATTCTTTTCTCCTCTTCTAGAGGGTTACGTTTTGATGATGAGTTGGGAATGGTGCTACCCGATAATAGCGACGAAGAAGCTGAAGAAAGTAAAGATATCCAGAAAACTAAGGATAGATCAAAAATTTATTCTGGTCATTGCCTACGTCCGTATCCAGCTGTAAGAGGCCACTGGGCTGTTGATTATACAAAAACATCTGATGTCAAATTAAGGAAATCAGGTAAAAGTTCACTGCGTATAGTACGCGGTAATTTTTTATTCAGATGTAGTTGCTATATAGATTCATTAAAAAGCCACTATTATTATGATTTCAAGGTAAGTTTTGAGGGTGTTTAGGGATTCAGCCAGACAGAATTTGTGGTACTTTAGTGCGTAGGGAACGAATAAAGCTAAAGCAGTTTTAACATAGTAATAAAAAAAAGGTGGGGTTATAAAAACAGTGGTAGAGTTTTTTTAAATTTTTTATTTTTTTGCTGTGTTAAATAAGTGACAAATGCAGCGTATTAGTTTTGATTTTACTTAAACAAATTTTTTCAGTTTCTCACTGTGACCAGGAAGACGCATATAATTTGAAAATTGTGGAAGGTTATTGTGACCTAAGTAGAAGTAGTAAAACAACTAAAAATGAGTCAAGTTCTTATCAAGGACTTCATCCTCCACAGCTGATAGTGGCTGAAGATGAAAAAATACTTATGGAGGAGATGGTTGGAGATGAAGTTGTTGTGAAAGAAAGGTAATTATTTGTATTTCTTATCTGATATATATGTCTTTAGTTGAAACCCTGTTTTCATTTTTTATTTTAGTTTACTTAGTACTGCAGTTCGAGTTTGCTATTTTGCCAGGAATCAAATACTTACCGCGAAATCATAAGATTTAATTGAGGAAGAAAATGGAGAGAGGAATAGTTTTGTTCAAAATAATTTTTGCAGGAGTTTAGTCGATACTGTTTATTCATTGAAGGACCGCATGATCAGTATGCAAAAGGTTATCTTTGAGGTCTTTAAATACTGCTGTAAAACTTAACACAACACCAACCTTTTGCAAGTTTGGATAGCTTCTTTGCATTTTTTTTTT